TTTTTTTTTTTTTTTTTTTTTTTTTTTCTAATTGTAAGGAAAGTAAAACTGTTGCAGGCAGAATGTGTCAGCTTGTTTTTCTAGTGGCCTTCAAATGATACATATGGGCTCCCTGGTGACCCGTCCGTCTTGTGTTGCAGGCTCGTTATGTTTTACTTCATCGCGCTAGCTGGAGCGCACAAGCTGGTGGTTGTCCAGCTCCGAGAGCAGCTGTCCCTGGTATGGAAGCACAGGCCCAGAGGGCCATGGCTGGGGACATTTAGCCAGGACACCTTACAGAAAGTGGCACTTTCTCACGGAGGGGGTGGAATTGCTGCACCTCCTTCTCACCACCACCTCCCCCGAACTCTGCCTTCAGGCCCAGCCCCCTCTGGCTTCATTCATTCACAGACTCATTCATTCTTTCAATATATACATTGAGTGCCCATTCTGGGCCTTGTATTGTGCTCAGTGCTGGGATGTGCTGGTGAACAAGAGAGACGAAATTGCTAAATAGTTAAAGAAATAAGATAAATTCTGATAACCATAACTGCTACTACGATAATAAAAACAAGGCAGTTAGAGTGACAAGTGTGCCGTCTGCTACTGTAGATGGTGACCGTAGAGGGTCTCTTTGAGGAGGTGACAGTGGGCTGAGATTTGAATGATAGGAGCTAATTATCAGCGGTCCTAATTAGAGATGAGCGTGGGAGGCGGGGGGTACAGTGAGGGGATGAGCCAGGCATTCTTGGGGACAGGAGGAAGGGGGGTGTGGCTGGAGATGGGAGAGGCAAGGTGACATTGTATCATCAGCCCGAGTCATAGTGTAGCCTGAGGGCTTTGGTGGGAAGTTCAAGTTTATTCTGAGTGTGATGGGAAACCAATGGAAGGTGCTAAGGAGAAGTCAGATGTACATTTTCAAAAAATGACCGCCTGCTGTGTGGACAAAGGGCTGTGGAGGGGACACGGGTGACAATAGTCCAGTGCTTGAGTCTAAACTCCTCATCCCTGGTCTGGTAGGTAATTCATTAGGTAAATGTAATGATATTTGTTTCCAAATATGGTAAATGTATTTTCAAATTCTTTGCTTTTTTTTTTGGTGACAATAGTCCAGTGCTTGAGTCTAAACTCCTCATCCCTGGTCTGGTAGGTAATTCATTGGGTAAATGTAATGATATTTGTTTCCAAATATGGTAAATGTATTTTCAAATTCTTTGCTTTTTTTTTTAAGGAAAGTCGCGACAAGCGATATCTAATCCAGAAACTAACAGAAGCCCAAAGAGATATGAGGAGCCAAGTAGACTCAGCGTGAAGATAGTCTGTGCGTCACTTCTAAACTGATGTAGTGACTCTGTGGAGCCCACAAAGTCCACCTAGGTTTTGAGCGGAAATTTTAAAATATATTTTTCTTTTAGGCTTTTCTTGAAAGTGACTCCGAACGTGCAGCTGTGTTTACATAACCCAGCCCCAATTTAGGGCTCTAGTGACTTAGAAAAACAGGGACAAACCCACATCTTTCCTGCAGACCAGCGGCTCAGTGACAACTCTACCAAAAAAAACTAACTTATTAAGCCATTCAAGCTTTTTCTTTTGGCAGCTGGCAGGCACAGGGATTGATACCCTAACCTTGGTGTTATCAGCACCACGATTTCAAGCTTTAAAAACAAAAATTGAGGAGGAAAGACTTTCCTATTTTTTAATAGCTTATTTGTGTTGTCTTTCAAAGTTAACTGTAGAGGTGATTTGTTCATGAGGCTGGGTTATTTCTTTTAAACCAGGTTCTAGGGGTTTAGGCTGAAAAGTGTTTCTTAAAAGTAGTGACCCTTTTGAATGTCTCTGTTGACTTAAGATGAAACCTGATTTTTTTATGTAATGAAGAGAAATCCTTGAGTCATGATGTTTGGAACAGACCGTGAGAACATGGAGAAGATGGAAGTTTCAGCTACACAGTAGCAGTAGAAGTAGAGAGAAGAGCCCATCCCTGCTGTGTGAATAGGCAGTCCCTGAATGCCGTAGATTAAGCCTCTTGAGGAGGGGAACCGCTTCAGGGTGGCAGCCCTGATTTCTTAGCTTCCTGGGCATTTCGCTATGGCCTTTTTCATTACTCAGGAGAAAGCTCTCTTTAGGGGGCTGGTTACCCATGAGCCTTCAGTTCCCATCTAGTCCTGAGTTCTGAGACTTGGCAGAGGACCAAGTGCCTTCAAAATTAAGAGGCAAGCAAAGTTTGTCTCTCAGTCTTCCAAATGTCATTCCCCTTCCTGGTCTACACTAGGATCTTCATTTCTGAAGGACACTTACAGTTTCAGAACCAGGCTGGAAAGGGCAGTTTAGTATTGGAGCTGGGAGTTTATGTGCATAAGAGTCTTGGGTTGTGGGTTATAGCTCAGCTCATTGATCAGACTAGTCTGTGAATGCGTAACAAAGTAGATGCTGGTTTCTTAAATCCACATTTCCACAGTGTTGAGGGCTATTATTTGTTTTCCTGTGCTTAAAATTTTAAATGCACGTATCTTTATTTTACAAAACTTGCAAAATAGCTCTTAAGATTTCCGTTACAGTGAAAACCTTATGCAATAAATACCTCATCATAAACTTACCCAAACTTGATAGCTGCATAAGAGTCTTGGGTTGTGGGTTATAGCTCAGCTCATTGATCAGACTAGTCTGTGAATGCGTAACAAACTAGATGCTGGTTTCTTAAATCCACATTTCCACAGTGTTCAGGGCTATTATTTGTTTTCCTGTGCTTAAAATTTTAAATGCACGTATCTTTATTTTACAAAACTTGCAAAATATCTCTTTAAGATTTCCGTTACAGTGAAAACCTTATGCAATAAATACCTCATCATAAACTTACCCAAACTTGATAGTTCCAAATCTTTTAATAGAAGACTAAGTTATTGTTTAATATCTTCAGAATCTTTTTCAAAGTACTGTAGTTTTGTAATGGACCATTTGAGCTTTCCTTACGTTGTTTTTCCTTCTTTCTTTCACTGGCTCCAGACCTTTCCTCGGGGGGTAACCTGGAATTTAAACTTGGGTGCAGTTTTGAGAAAGCTGCTGCTGTTAATAATTCCCACCCCCACCTCCATTCCTCAGAAATGATTGACTCCTTGCTCTGAAGAGCAAAGCAAGCTTGCCATAGCTAATACATTTCTATATTTCTGTCCCTTTGCCGCCACCATTTCCTGGCTCTTCTGCAAAGATAGGATTAACGTGGGATATTTTTGTACCTGTGTGACTGATGAGCTTTTCAGTCTTTCCTGTCTTGTTAAGGGTTATGAGTTTCTAAATCTAACAACTGGTACCATGGAATTTTAAGTAATCAAAAGTCCATTCCAACCTCACTTAAAAAATTCTAATTATAAGTATTTCTGCCCACTGCCTTTATATATGTAATGTTTTTGCCTTTACCATGCTTCTGAGGACATTCAAGTTTTGTGTGTGTGTGTGTGTATGTGTGTGTGTGACACAATGAGAATATATTGCTCTGTTTTCTTTCCTTTTTATAAAACTGATACTGAAATATTCTAATATATTAGTTAAATGGTGTAAATTTGCATACCTCTTACTTGAATGTTTTTATACGTTTTGACTAATAACTTCAGGTGATGTCTGTATAATTTTTAAAGTGCAGCTTTCACAAATGTGCATTAAAACTACTGATTAAACAGTGTCTTGAAGGTTTTAAAGTGTGTGTATGTGTATATGAATTCACAGAGGCTTCTTGTCAACAATCAAGTGATTGTGGAAAACTCTAAGAGTTTGTAAAGTTACTCTTTGTCTTTTCCAAAATCGGAGAGAAGTGTTTAATGCAATCATCAGATGAGTGATCTTAGGATTCCTTGGCTCTGTTGAAGCCAAGGAAGAGGGTGTATGTGTGTCTTTTAAACTTACAAGATAAAATTATTTCAAGCATTCCCCATCCTACTCCCCAGAGGGAACCACTGCTCATGACATTTATTTTATTCTTCCAGAAAATTATAATACTTATTCAATCTGATATATACACAGGTACTTCAAAAAGTCTGTGGAAAAATAGTATTAAAAGACAATACAAATTTTTCCATGAACTTTTTGAATACCCTAGTATGTATGGGTGTATGTTATGAAATATGTATTTTTTTCTCCTTAATAACATCTTGAAGATCTTTCCATATAAGCAGCTACCTCATTCTTTTTAATGGCTATAAAGCATTCCATTGAATCAATGTATACTTTCTATAATCATGCGACCACTAGTGGATACTCAGATTGTTTTTGCCCCACTTTGCCCTTTACAAACACTGGAAGCTGGAATTTTGAAAGTCCCTGCAAACATTTCTGTCTTTCCCCATTCAGCCCTTGTTCTTAAGGCAGCCTTGCAGGTTCTCACAATTACAAAATACTCTCATCCCAGCAAAGATAAGAATCCAGTTAGGCAAGTTTAGTTTGCATTAACTCTTAAGTTGACAAAATAAATTCCTGCAGCTACAAATCTGATTGTAGGTACCCATTTGCATTAAGTATTGGAGAAGAAAGGAATATTGACACGGTGGCACTATGAGGTTCAGTTCGAACTTTTGGTAAGAGAGAATTTCTGAATGTATCTTCTTTATATAGGGTGTAGACTTACTAGTAAGTTCCATTTGGTGCATTTCCTTTCCAGTGCATGGGATGTGCTTGGGACATGGAATGGCTTTGCTACTTGTTTAATTGTGTGATTATGTACAAGTATCTTCACAAAAAGGTACAAATATGGGAAAATAATATATTTGCTTTTATATTTCAGAATTGAATGCAGAAAACATTAAAAGCTACAGAGAAAAAAATTAAAATCACTTATAAGCACCATATATGGACACCTGCTGTTAATCTTGGCAAAATTTAAGATAGAAAGTACAGAAGGAGGGAAGAAGGATGAAAAGTTAAGATAGAAAGTACAGAAGGAGGGAAGAAGGATGAAAAGTAGGAAAGAAAGAAAACATTTGGTATTCTCATTTCTTTTTCACTTAATGTTTAAGTGTTTTCTCATATTATCAAAAATTATTTAAAAACATTTCAACAGGCTACATAATATAACATACAGATGGACCGTACTTTTTAAATACTTTCTTGTTTAACATTTTGTTTCCAGACTTCCCCAATAATAAATGACTGGGACATCCATATGTCTTTGTCAGCATTTTTTCTCCGTAGGGGCAGAGAATGACAAGTGGTATTAAAGCAAAAGTTTTGAAAACTTCAAGGCTCTTGAGAGCCAGATGTACAGACTCAGTAGTTTTACCTGAGAATGTTACATCACCCTAACTATCACTAAGTACTAAGTATTTGGGTTCGTTACAATTTTAAATTATTGTAGTGTGTTAATTTGAACACCGTAGAGCAATATAAAATAACCAGAAACTTCAATTATTTTACAGTAGCACTGTATATTAAAATGTTTTATAGTAAACTTGGATAAAATACATAAATAATCCAGGGGTTTAAAGTAGAAAGTGAAAGCACCCTTCTCACAGTCCAACCCTCTGATGTTACCAATACTAAATGTTTTGTTGTATATCTTTCAAATATGCATCTTTTTTTTGCCCTCATATACATACATAACTCACTTGAAAAATTATTTGTTGTGTAACCCGTACAAGTAAGACTGCCATATTAATGAATATGCACTTCAAAAAGTATGATATATGTTGCTAAATTTCCCCATCCATTAAAAAAACACACAAAAAAACGATGAAAACCAATTTGCACCAATATACACGCACAGCAACAATACAGTAAAGTGGATACAAAAAATAATATATCTCTCTGAAGAAAATCTGGAAACAGAGAAAAGGTCTAAGAAGAAATTTAAAGTCGGCTTTCAGCGTACCACCTAAAGATAACATTATTGACCATCCAGTGAATTTAATTTCGTCATGTAATTTCTACTACTTTTAGTGGATGTAGGATACAAATAGAGAAAAGTCTCCTTGCACGTAGGTAAAACACAAAAATGATGTAAGTAATTCTCTCACGGTCCCCTCTCAGGAACTTAATTGAGAAGTCCTGACCCTGTCCAGATCTTTGAAAGAAATATTTAGCATTCTCATCGCCATGGCAACCCAAGCCTCCTTTCCCGCCATCGGGCGCCCCAGTGATTGATAGTGACAGCAACCAATAGAATATCTAGATTTGCGGTTTCTAACCAATGGAATGGAAGCGGAGGCTTAGGGGCCTTTCCACCAGAGCCAGAGCGAGCCGCGCCTTCCCTACGTTCGCTGTGCGTCATCAGTCTGCGCCAAGGCCACGATTGGCCTGCTTCACTCTGCGGAGTGGCTGCCTTGTTATCAGCGAAATGAGCTGCGCCGGGGCGGCGGCGGCGGCGGCTCCCTCCCTGTGTTGGCTGCGCACGGGGGTCCGGCGGCCCCTGTCAGGTAAAGGGGGACGCGCGGTTGCAGTCTCGTGCTGGGCCGGGGGGCTAGGAAGTGCTCGCCTGAGGCTTTGGGCCGGAGAGGTCACGGGGGAGACGTTCACAACGTCACAGGTCTGAGACGGAGCGCACTGCGTGACGTTAGACGAGGGGGCCCTAGGGCAGGGCGGAGCCCGTAGCACGACGGGGAAAGCTTTGGGCGGCCGGACATGGTTGGCGCGTTGGGGAAGGACGTAATCGCGCATCTCTGCCGTGACGTCACTGCAGGCGGGGTCGGCGTTCTGGGCGATACTGGAAGCAAAGTGTACCCCTACGACCCGCAGCGTCGACTTCCCCTGGGAACTTGTTAGAAATGCACATTCCCAGGTATCTGTATTTTAAGGAGACCTTCCAATGATTCGTACGCACTGTAAAGTTTGACAAGCGCCAGTGTAGTGGAGGGAGCATCGAATATGAAGTAGGGAGAGGGCTTTGGATCCAGGCTCTTTGTGCTTTTCTTTTCTTTTTGTGTTTTCTTTTTTTTTCATCTGAGCTGCCTCAGAAAATTGTTGTAAGGTCGTTCTCTCAAAGTTAAATCATTTGTGTACCACCTTCAGGATTTTTGCCCTATAGCGGTATTGCTTGTAGTTTTGATTACTAAATGTGTTTTTTTGTAGAAGCATGTCCCATTTTAAGATTAAATAATTTCCCGGAAACTAAATCCTTATGATGAATAAAAACCAGTATCGCCTGCCCCAAATGGATGAATAATCATAGAAAATAAATATACTGAAACAAAGTTATTTAATTGTACTAGATACTATTGCCTACCACAGCTTGAACCGAAGACCATCTCACTATCAAGTAAGTGAGATTAGCAGGTGTCTGGAAGATGTTCAGGATATACCAGCTGAAAATAGAGATATCTTCCCTGATGAAATCAGGAGGATTGGAAGAAGATTTAAAAGAGTAACACTTACGGGGCCGGCCCAGTGGCGCACTGCTACAGTGTGCCGCTTGGGAGCGCGGCGGCGCGGCGGCACTCCCACTGAGGGTTCGGATCCCACATACAGACCGGTTCCCGCTCACTGGCTGAGCGAGGTGCGGGCGCAACGCCGAGGGTTGCGACCCCATTGCCGGTCCCGGTCCGGTTCGGGCGCGACACTGAGGGTTGCAATCCGTTGCCGGACACGAAAAAAGACAAAAACAAAAACAAAAAAAGAGTAACATTTACTATACGGATGTTATTTAATGCATATTCATAAGCCACTTAAAATCTCCCTATATACCA